AAATATTCAATGCGAAACCCGTAGGGATGCCACTGTTTGAAAAAATACAAACTTGTGTACATCAGAAAATGCGCCTTGAGGCATGGAACATATGTACCAAATATGCCAAAGATGTCTACAAAATTATCTCAGTTATTATTAAAAAACTGATTATTTTTGAAAACTTTGCCACCCTGTATCTCAAAAGTTAAGGCGTTTAGGACATGCATCCATGGAAAGTTTTTTCTTAAAATGGGTCTAAGAATTATCTCCTTGAATATTAGCATGTGTTTAAGGAACACCCTGTAGAAGTCCTCTTAGGTGAAACACGCTTTGATGAAAGGCTGATGCCTTGCAAATAATAGTAAGATGACCAATTTTCTCTATCTTCAGAAATTCACCGAAAACTTTCGCTAATGATGGCTGCCAAACAAATAATAAACAACGCAGCGTCTTCGAACTTGAAACATATGCTTGATAGATTGTGTACTTTCTAATACGGTGATATTTTTCAAATATCTATCGCCATTTCTAGGTCAGGCCGGGTACTTATAGGACCACCTCGTAGCTTACAAAACGAACAATAATTCAAGTGAATATCAAAAACAATAAAACCCCCAGTGTCGGATACATTCGGAGTATACAACTTGACTTATGGTTCTTGTCCAAAATTTTGTATCGGACAAACCGGAAGAACTTTTTCCAAAAGAATGAAAGAGCATAGAAGAAGTTTTTTGAAAGGGAAGATCAATTTGAAATTTTGACAGATTGCATTTGGAAACGTTTAATGGACGTTCTCAGCACGTATCAATTAATTCTATAAATATAGGTGAACCATCAACGTGGTAAAGATAGGTTATCATGAATGCTAAATTATGACACTTCGAAAAATAATAGGAATGAAAGTTTTCAAATTGACTGAAATTGAATAACTAATGAAAAAAGCGTTGTAAATTCATGAAAAATATCGTTTTTGGAGTGTTATTGAAAGGCTTTGAAAATTCTATGTTGATGGCTTTTGATAAGTTCATCCTATCAATGGCACTAATGAAGCAATAGTACCTAGTGTTATGATTTCATAACGTTTGAGCCTTATCAGTTTTGTCGCAACTGATTTTATGGAAATGACCAACTTTTCAAGTACAAAAAAGTGATATGCTAACAGAAGTTCAGAAAAAAAATACTATACGTTACTGACTGATATTTACTTATGATGCACTGTTTGGAACCTTTGGTGTAGTAATGAATATTATTGGAGTTTTTTTCCAACACCAAATCGTTATTTTCAACACCTTGACATGTGTTTGGATTACCAAGTGATCATCTTCAAAGAGGAGTTTTAATCTTCCTCCAAGTGATCATCTTCAAAGAGGAGTTTTAATCTTCCTCTTTGAAGATGATCACTTGGTGATCGAAACACGTGTCGAGGTGTTAAAAATAACGATTTGGTGTTGGGAAAAACTCCAGTAATATTGCCTGATATTTGAATGATATTCGATGGAAATTCATTGATACGTATACAAAAACCACACTTCGAAGTGGAATTTCCACATTTTCCACATTTCGCTATACAAAAGCATCTTCAGGGCCCTCGAAATACTATTATTCAGAAAACTAGTCAAGTATACATTGTTTCATTCGAATAAGAAGTTTGATTCCTTCCTCCAGTATACTTGGAGTTGTCCGGAATTTGAAAATAGTTTGTGATTTTTCACGAACAGACTTCGTATTTGTAGACAAATGGCTCAAGATCAGATGTTCTCTCTCTCTCTGTAGAGTAGGGAGGAGGGGGGTAAGCCTACACCAGAAGGTCAAAAAGATGTGAATGCGACGCTCACTCTGGACGCCCCAGCATATCAATAACCGATGAAAATTCTGACAAGTAGAGGAAATTGTTATGGAGAATCATCGTCAAATCACTATCCCTACTATACCGATTGATATTTTGTGTATTTTCAAAAAACTGGCTTCCTCCATTCTCTCAATTGCAATAATTTTTCACACAGTGAAATATTCAATAGTCTAGACTATTTCGTCTCAGATATCTTCAACGAAGCCTATTGCAGTGGGTGAAAAATTGCAACTCTCAGCAAAATCGATGGAACTCATCTCAATTGTAACACACCGTACATCTAGAGTTTTTTGTAGAATTGATACTTACCCAACTGAAGAATAGATCTAATACACTTCCAATTGGTTTCAAAAAAATTTGAATCCGATTCCAAAACATTCCAATATAATTTTCGAATGTGTGAATATATCTCCTCATTCTCATTCTTTCAGGCGCCGTCACAAATAAGTGGATTGTTCTCAGGAAGGGGCTGATGTATATTTTGAAAACTGATTTGTAATGTAATCGGAACCATCTGATCAATCCTTGGAATACATCCTTGAAGAAAAACGGATAAATTAATACAGTATCGTACTTTGATATTTTTTCAACTATATCAGCTGGGCTGAAAACTCACTAGCCGCTACTAGTGATACATCTATATGTTTTTTCGTTGAACTTAACCTTCGAAAACCACATGCACAGCTATCGGACTATTAGTTTATGGGATAGAACATTTTAAGTGGAGCAACTTCTTTTAGTTTGAAGAAAATGGATGGAAAGCGATTTCTTGTGTTATAGAAGCATTGATTTCAGACGGAAAAAAATGTTGAAGCTAAAGCTTGGTTTACTGAACATTATTTGAACTTTGCACTACGAATATCAACCGTTGAGAAGTGGTTTGAACGAGGTGAAATGAGCACGCAGTGGACGCCATAAAGAGGCTGTTACCTCCCAAATGGAGTTGATAAACATAGCTGAGGCTCTAAGGTTATTCGAAAGCTTCAATAATGGTAGGTACTGCGCTATCTCACAATCGACCAAAAACAACAACGAATTGATGATTCTGAGCATTTTTTGAAGGTGTTCCACTATTAAAAACCCGAATGAGTGCATCGATATGTGACAGTGGATTAAACATGGCTCCATCTTTTCACATCAGGATCAAAACGATTTTTTATTAGCGATTTTTTTATTGAAGAAATCACTACGCCACTGGATTCAGAGTGCCTCTAAATAGGTGTGACCAAAATTTCATGAAAATAAAAAAAATTTGCTACTCTGGATAATGTCGAAATGACGTTATTTTTTCACAACTTTGCTGCCCTCCCCTTTCTTTACGTCACTCTTAAATTGTCAGATTACTGGAATATACACTTTTTAGCAGGTAATTAACTCGCCCTACCTCGTTCGAGAATTTCTGATAAACAATTTTTTCACCAATCTGATCCTTTATCCCTCACAGTCTGTGTATCCCAGTGATTTCATTTCCTTTCCAAAATAAATAGTAATGCTGAGAAAAGGTTTTTTGTGCAGTGGAAAAACCTTGAAAGTTCAAGACACTGACATTTTCAAATAAAATTCCAAAAATATATTTGTTTCAAAAATACTTGCCATTTCCCTTCCTGGTCCAATTTCAGTAGAGTTCGATTTGCCTGGATAGAGTATGTCCACGACAATTTCTTGAATTTTGGAATCGATCAACTGAAATATTGCCAAGATTGGTCTGAAAAATAGTTCCAGGATCTTCCCCAGACGCGAATTGAAGAAATTCCTCGTTCTGTCAGCCTGTTAAGTTCACAAAAATGTTGTGAATTGTTATCTTTCATTTATGTTTCTATATCTTCAAAAACTTTAAATCCTCTGTCTTTCTTTCGAAAAGGAATATGAAAATACCGAAAGCGAGGTCTATTTTCTCACCAAGAGGAACAGTTCCAAAGGTTATTTTCAGCCATCTTGATTGAAATGAGAAAAGGTGGCACATTATTTCATTCAAATTGTTTTATAGGAACTTGTTACAAATAAATCGCTTTTCATAACCTAAAACGGAATTAGAACTTGCACACAATGGGAGTAATAGTTATTAGTTTATTATTTCTACCATTGAGTGGTCCTCTTCAAATCTTGATATTAGAAGAGAAAATGATTTTTTTTTAGTATTTCTCACTTCAACTGAAATATGTTTCAGTTCACTTTTGGGAGTCAATCCGGTATAATACTGAAGTAAGAAAAATGAAACCTATCAACACGAAACCTTCTGTACTTTACTTGACTTATTTTAATTTGAGGAATATTGAAGGAAGAACTTTATCCTTTCATCAATCAATTCATTACAACAATCAACTACATGAGTAACACACTACCACACTAGAAATATTATTCTCCATGTAACTGGTACCAACTATAGGAAAACTATCAGTTCCTTGTTTCCCAAAGACATATTTCAGTTCAACGAACTACCTGCAGATGTATTCTTCAAATCGAACCTCATAAAAACGATAATATCCCATTCAAATATGAGTATAACTCTTTAATTCATCCAATAGAATGAAGTAAATATCGGTCACTTTAATTACTTTCAGTAAATGATGATTTTTCATTATTATTACTGTTCTGCATATAAGGGTTCCGCATTGGAGAATTCATTATTGATGATTATCACAAATTGATGATGTGTAATCTTTCATTTTTCCAACTACACTAACAGGCCCTGTTTTCTAAATTCACCAGAAAATTCATACCCACCTGAGAATTAAAAGATATCATCATAGATATAATCATAAGATTATGGCTGGAAAACTTGAATACTACGGGATTAGAGGTGGACAACTGAATTTATTCAAGTCATACCTTGTAAATAGGAAAGCCAGAGTGCACTGGGAAAATGAAGTATCCGATTTTGTAGCCATGGAGGACGGAGTACCACAAGGATCTGTACTAGGTCCCACTCTTTTTATTATTTATGTCAATGATATGATGTTCAATATACAGAGCCTAAGCACCTCTATTCATCCTTTTGGTTATGCTGACGATGTATCAATAATACATTTTGACACAAACAGTCGGTCATTAGGAGACCTCGTGATAGATTCTGATGAACTCATTCGGATGTGGAATAAGAGTTACTACCTTTGTCTCAACTCTGACAAAACTCTGAATCTCAACTTTACATTGGTTGAACAAAGAGATGAAGATCCAGTAAAATTACTTGGTGTACACCTTGACAACAGCTTGAATTTTTATATCGTATCAAGTATCTTTCAAAACGTCTCTCAACTGCCACATATATTATAAGACAGCTGAAAAGCAAACTAACGGAAGAATATTTGGAGATATCATATTTTCATTATTCCATTCAACAATGACGTACGCTTTGATAGTATGGGGATCGTCGAGTCACTCAGCTAAAATATTTACCCTACAAAAAAAAGTACTCAGGATGATGGCTGGGAAAAGTTTCAATGAACATTGCAAACCAATTTTTAGACAATTTGGAATATGATCAAAAATGAAGAAATACATAAATACCCCACTAGAAAGAGAATGGACTTTAGATTGCCTAAACCAAGAATAACCAAAACTAAGCACTCTTACAGATATCTGGCAATAACATTTTACAATGCTCTTCCCACTGATCTAAAAGACGTAGCCCTGAATATGAATCGATTCAAAATTGAATATTCAAATAAGTATATATAGTATATAGTATAAGAATATATTCAAAAAGATAAGTATGTACATCTTACGGAGTCTGATGGATGTAATGTTACTGTTACCCTAGGGTGTATCTGATAATTTAATAATTATTAGTGTAATTCTATTTATGTACATGTAAATGTGTATATACCTATATGAGTTATGTATGTCTGGTGTATGTGTGTATGTGTGTGTTCTTTTGAGTTCATCAAATTATTGATTTGACGTATGTAAAAACACTTTGTGTAATAGCATGAATAAATACCTATCTATTTATCTATCTATAAAAAAAATAGAACTGCGTGTTTTCTGATTTTTCAATTCATTTCCCGAAGAAAAGATACGGAAAGTGGACAGCAACAATTTTAGAATCGACACCCAGTATAAGATATCCAGTATAAGGTACCACTTTGGAATATAAATAATCTCATAACGCGTCTGATAAAAAGAATCTGTACAATATCATACAGTGGAGTATATTATTTCAATAATCGTAGATTTATCGATATCAAATACACTTACCAGTCGAATTCTTCTCCAAAATCCATTCTGAGTGTATACTAAATTACTTGGGTAGAATTCACCGAGACTACCGCTCTGAACATCCGTGTAGATCACATCAATCAATACAAATATTGGTTTGAATATTATTACAAACAGCTTTCCTATACGCGAGTTGAAGAATGTGGTCAATCCTTTGTCCTTGAAAATGGTTGAAGTAAGAAATTATGGTTTTTATTTGAGTGATGATGAGAAATTATGAAAATTATTGAAAAAAATAGGTACTTTATTGAAGGATACAGTGGAAAATCATTCTAAACTAATAGAGCTAATAGAGCCATTGAAAAGTTTTACGTAAAAGATGGTGAATCACAACTGAAACAAATTCATTTTCAGATTTCAATTTGTGAAAAAACATCCGGTAGAATTATTTGTTGAATGATTTCACTTACAGGTTTTTGAATCGTATACTTTCAAAAACCGTTTGGATGCCGTAGTATTCAATATATTTGACCAAGAGCAAAAACAATGATATAATTTCATTTCTGTTTGATGAAATTAACGAAACAAAGATTCATAAAGTGAAAAATATTTCAAACTACATTATCCTTCAAGAATTCTTTTTGGCACACATACATAAATACATCCATCCTCACGAACTTCCATATTTATAATATTAGTTTATATTCTCTCCTCATCCATGAAAAATCTAGTGTCAAATGAGAAATTGATTTTCAAGGCAGTGAAATGTTTTAGAATGAAAACTCAAATATAGGTTAGGACAAACTACTCACCAGATCGAAATTTCGAAATACATTCGAAATTATTTGTTTTATATTCGTGTAGATCAAATCGAATATTGATAGGATTGGCCTGAATAACATTGCAACAAGCTTCCCAAGGGGCGAATTGATGATTGTTGATATTCCATTTTCCTTATAAATCAATAAGAACTATGAGTTTCATAAATGAAATGCATATCGGCTAAATGAGCATTATTGTTTAAATAATCCATTTTTTCAAAAAAAGTGTTTTCTACTTCTACTTACGGAAACTTCAAAAAAATGTCTTACTGTCACAAAATATGTAATTACCAAAACTACTCACAAACGTAAAAATTTATTTCCAAAGCATTCTTGTGAAAAATGCAAAATATTCGTAATAACTTCAACATGCATCGATTATCAAATAATCGACTTGAAGTTTTCAAGTCCAAATATTTAGAAAACGGTTGCTTACAGCGACTAGTAACAAGAGTAGCTTATTTACGTATATATGATAGAGGAATCGATTTTTTTATTGAAAAATGTGCTAGAAGTACGCCCAAAAAAGTTATGAATCTTTAAAAAAGAAAAAGACGTGTAGGTGGCGCCCCCTACGAGTAAGAGCAATAAGAACATCAGGTTCGAATTCGACACCTCGAAAACCTCCTATCACCAAGTTTCGTTTAATTAAGTTCAGTATTTCAAAAGTTATTTGAAAAAAACGAAAACAAAAACTTCAACATCCTGTATCTTGGAAACGAAGCGTTTCTGGACATTTATTTATTTGGACAATTCATATTAGAATATTGTGAGGAATCACCTCCTGAAGTTTGTCAAAGTACTTTTGAATCACCCTGTATATTCTGATTTCTTATGCTTGAAATGTACATACCTTGCAAAGTTGACACCGTACTCAACCATTTCTATTTATATCTGTATTCCAAATAAAAAAATTCTCACTTTTACACAACAGAACTGAATGTATTCCGTCCAGCCACAAAGTTACAAGCATACTGAAGCTTTTACCACACTGATAGTTCTCGTGCACGTATAAACCGCTGCATGTCGAGACTTGCTAGGGCCGTACTAAATATAATACAATAGGCATATCTGGGCCAATCTGGTATGTTTATACAGTATGTTCAAGAGATTTATTCTGTCCGAAAATGAAGTATATTTGTACTACTATTGATTTCATCACGAAAATTCCTACAGAATGTTATAATGATCTATAACTGAGAATATCTGAGTATATTTTGTATCCAAAGTCTTTTTCAGCTGAGCACTGGGTTGATATTTATATTATGATATTTATTTTGGTTAGAGTTTTCTTTGGGTCGATCTTATTCGACAGATTATTTGAAATATCCTCATAACTGATGTATTGAGATTTTGAAAACACATATGGAATACCAAACTGTGGAAAATCAAACACTTACCCAATAGAAAACTAGCGTAGAATTGCAGAATGTATATGAATGAGTTAGACCAAATATACTCAAAACTGGTCTGAATATTGATTTCAAAATCGATGCCAACAACGAATGGCACAATCTAAACCTGAATGGTGAGGCTGCTTGTGGAGTTATTCCTTGAGGTATTTCAGAAATACCATGCTGTATCTAACAGAAAAAAATAATATGAAAACAATGTCACTGAACGGAAAGTCACCAATTACAATCTACGCACCTGTCCTGAGTTTACTGATGAAACGTATGGATAAACATACGAATCAGTAGATACACTGTGAACTGCTTCTGTCGTAACATTCACTATTCCAGGAAAAGCTTGAATCACGTCGTTGTATGATATTGTCTCGGAACCTGCTCCCATGATGTTCTTTGTTGTTACCTCTTCTGTCCTTTCAACATCATTCCGATTCCCGATTTGTATAGATGAGTGGAAAGAGGATAACTTGGTAGGAACTTCTGGGGACTGAGTCGAAAAAACTGTATTCCAGAAATTTTCTTGTGTTATGTGGTTTGCCTCTGAAGAATCACTCTCATTTTGGCCGGATTGGGATGAATTTTGTGATTCAATTAGTGGTGATGTAACTGAACTATGAATAATTGTTTCACTAATTGTTGAACTCATATCCTCCTCATTGTAGAATGTAGTCGATTCCTCCATTCCTGACGTTGTTATATCCATGATATTCGTCACATTTTCTCCCTTGAAATTCACTCCTGTTGTTCGAGTTTCTGTTGTCGAGTCGGAAGTGTTGTCATCAACTACATTTTCCGTTGTGATTTCATTTTTGCTATTCGACCCATCAATTTCTGTGATGTTGATATGAATGCTTACTTCAGAATCACCACCTGGAGATTGTTGTTCTGTTGAAACATTTTGAAGATTTTCATTTCTAGTCGAATCATTCATTGTACTTTTTGTTGAATCCACTTCCTCCTCGTTGGAGGATGTAGTCGATTCCTCTACTCCTGACGTTGTTATATCGATGATATTAGTTACATTTTCATTCATGAAATCCACTTGTGTTTTTGGAGTATTCGTTGTTGAGTCGGATGTGTTGTCATTACTTCCATTTTCCGTTGTGATATCAGTTTTTATACTCGAACCATTGATTTCTGTGATGTTGATATGAATGTTTATTTCAGAATCACCACCTGGAGATGGTTGTTCTGTTGAAACATTTTGGAGATTCTCATTTCTGGTCGAATTATCCATTGTACTTTCCGTTGAAATCACTTTCTCCTCGCTGGAGGATGTAGTCGATTCCTCTACTCCTGACGTTGTTATATCGATGATATTCGTCACATATCCATTCATGAAATCCACTTCTGTTGTTGGAGTATTCGTTGTTGAGTCAGATGTGTTTTCATCAACTCCACTTTCCGTTGTGATTTTATTTTTGATATTCGACCCAATAATTTCTGTGACGTTGATATGGATGCTCATTTCAGAATCACCACCAGGAGATGGTTTTTCTGTTGAAATACTGAGAAGATTCTCATTTCTGGTAGAAATATCCGTTGAAATTTTTGTTGAACTTACTTCCTCCTCATTGGATAATGTAATAACTCCTGTTGTTCGAGTTTCAGTTGTTGAGTCGGATGTGTTGTCATCATTTCCATTTTCCGTTGTGATATCAGTTTTCATACTCGACCTATTGATTTCTGTGATGTTGATATGAATGCTTATTTCAGCATCACCTCCAGGAGATTGTTTTTCTGTTGAAATATTTTGAAGATTCTCATTTCCGGTCGAAATATCGATTGTACTTTTTGTTGAATCCACTTCCCCCTCGTTGGAGGATGTAGTCGATTCCTCTACTCCTGACGTTGTTATATCGATGATATTCGTTACATTGTCATTCATGAAATCCACTTCTGTTGTTGGAGTATTCGTTGTTGAGTCGGATGTGTTGTCATTATTTCCATTTTCCGTTGTGATTTCAGTTTTCATACTCGACCCATTGATTTCTGTGATGTTGATATGAATACTTATTTCAGCATCACCACCAGGAGAATGTTTTTCTGTTGAAATATTCTGAAGTCTCTCATTCCCGGTTGAAATATCGATTGTACTTTTTGTTGAATCCACTTCCCCCTCCTTGGAGGATGTAGTCGTTTCCTCTACCCCTGACGTTGTTATATCGATGATATTCGTTACATTTTCATTCATGGAATCCACTTGTTTTGTTGGAGTATTTGTTGTTGAGTCAGATGTGTTGTCATTATTTCCATTTTCCGTTGTGATTTCAGTTTTCTTACTCGACCCATTGATTTCTGTGATGTTGATATGAATGCTCACTTCAGAATTACCACCTGAAGATGGTTGTTCTGTTGAAACATTCTGAAGATTCTCATTTCTGGTCGTATTATCCATTGTACTTTCTGTTGAAATCACTTCCTCCTCGCTGGAGGATGTATTCGATTTCTCTACTCCTGACGTTGTTATATCGATGATATTCGTTACATTTTCATTCATGAAATCCACTTGTGTTGTTGGAGTCTTCGTTGTTGAGTCGGATGTGTTGTCATTATTTCCATTTTCCGTTGTGATATCAGTTTTCATACTCGACCCATTGATTTCTGTGATGTTGATATGAATGCTCACTTCAGAATTACCACCTGGAGATGGTTGTTCTGTTGAAACATTCTGAAGATTCTCATTTAGTCGAATTATCCATTGTACTTTCTGTTGAACCCACTTTTTCCTCGCTGGAGGATGTAGTCAATTCCTCTTCTCCTGGCGTTGTTATATCGATGATATTCGTTACATTTTCATTATTAAAATCCACTTCTGTTGTTGGAGTATTCGTTGTTGAGCCGGATGTGTTGCCATTATTTCCATTTTCCGTTGTGATATCAGTTTTCATACTCGACCCATTGATTTCTGTGATGTTGATATGAATGCCCACTTCAGAATCACCACCTGGAGATGGTTGTTCTGTTGAAACATTTTGAATATTCTCATTTCTGGTCGAATTATCCATTGTACTTTCTGTTGAAATCACTTTCTCCTCGCTGGAGGATGTATTCGATTTCTCTACTCCTGACGTTGTTATATCGATGATGTTCGTTACATTTTCATCAATAAAATCTACTTCTGTTGTTGGAGTATTCGTTGTTGAGTAGGATGTGTTGTCATTATTTCCATTTTCCGTTGTGATATCAGTTTTCATACTCGACCCATTGATTTCTGTAATGTTGATATGAGTGCTCACTTCAGAATCACCACCTGGAGATGGTTGTTCTGTTGAAACATTTTGAAGATTCTCATTTTTGGTCGAATTATCCATTGTACTTCCTGTTGAACCCACTTTTTCCTCGCTGGAGGATGTAGTCAATTCCTCTTCTCCTGACGTTGTTATATCGATGATATTCGTTACATTTTCATTAATAAAATCCACTTCTGTTGTTGGAATATTCGTTGTTGAGTAGGATGTGTTGTCATTATTTCCATTTTCCGTTGTGATATCAGTTTTCATACTCGACCCATTGATTTCTGTGATGTTGATATGAATGCTCACTTCAGAATTACCACCTGGAGATGGTTGTTCTGTTGTAACATTTTGAATATTCTCATTTCTGGTCGAATTATCCATTGTACTTTCTGTTGAACCCACTTTTTCCTCGCTGGAGTATGTAGTCAATTCCTCTTCTCCTGACGTTGTTATATCGATGATGTTCGTTACATTTTCATTAATAAAATCCACTTCTGTTGTTGGAGTATTCGTTGTTGAGTAGGATGTGCTGTCATTATTCCCATTTTCCGTTGTGATATCAGTTTTCATACTCGACCCATTGATTTCTGTGATGTTGATATGAATGCTCACTTCAGAATTACCACCTGGAGATGGTTGTTCTGTTGAAACATTTTGAAGATTCTCATTTCTGGTCAAATTATCCATTGTACTTTCTGTTGAACCCACTTTTTCCTCGCTGGAGGATGTAGTCAATTCCTCTTCTCCTGACGTTGTTATATCGATGATATTCGTTACATTTTCATTAATAAAATCCACCTGTGTTGTTGGAGTATTCGTTGTTGAGTAGGATGTGTTGTCATTATTTCCATTTTCCGTTGTGATATCAGTTTCTATACTCGAACCATTGATTTCTGTGATGTTGATATGAATGCTCAATTCAGAATCACCACCAGAAGATGGTTGTTCTGTCGAAAAATTTTGAAGATACTCATTTTTGATCGAATTATCCGTTGTACTTCTTGTTGAACTCACTTCCTTCTCGCTGGAGGATGTAGTCGATTCCTCTACTCCTGACGTTGTTATATCCATAAAATTCGTTACATTTCCATTCATGAAATTCACTCCTGTTGTTGGAGTATTCGTTGTCAATTTGGATGTGTAGTCATCATTTCCATTTTCCGTTGTGATTTCAGTTTTCATACTGGACCCATTGATTTCTGTGATGTTGGTATGAATGTTTTCTTCAGAATCACCACTTGGAGATGGTTGTTCTGTTGAAACATTTTGAATATTCTCATTTCTGGTCGAATTATCCGTTGTATTTCTTGCTGAACTCACTTCCTCCTCGCTGGAGGATGTAGTCGATTCCTTTACTCCTGACGTTGTTATATCCATGATATTCGTTACATTTTCATTCATGAAATTCACTTCTGTTGTTGGAGTATTTGTTGTTGAGTCGGATGTGTTGTGCTCATCCCCATTTTCTGTTGTGATTTCGGTTTTTATACTCGACCTATTGATTTCTGTGATGTTGATATTGATACTCGATTCAGAATCACCACCAGGAGATGGTTGTTCTGTTGAAACATTTTGAAGATACTCATTTCTGGTCGAATTATTCCTTGTACTTCTTGTTGAACTCACTTCCTTCTCGCTGGAGGATGTAGTCGATTCCTCTACTCCTGACGTTGTTATATCCATAATATTCGTTACATTTCCATTCATGAAATCCACTCCTGTTGTTGAAGTATTTGTTGTCAATTTGGATGTGTAGTCATCATTTCCATTTTCCGTTGAGATTTCAGTTTTCATACTGGACTCATTTATTTCTGTGATGTTGATATGAATGTTTTCTTCAGGATCACCACTTGGAGATGGTTGTTTTGTTGAAACATTTTGAGGATTCTCATTTTTGGTCGAATAATCCGTTTTACTTCTTGTTGAACTCACTTCCTCCTCGCTGGAGGATGTAGTCGATTCCTCTTCTCCTGACGTTGTTATATCGATGATATTCGTTACATTTTCATTAATAAAATCCACTTCTGTTGTTGGAGTATTCGTTGTTGAGTAGGATGTGTTGTCATTATTTCCATTTTCCGTTGTGAT